ATCACCTGACCTGAATCCAACAGAAAATCTATGGAAAGAACTAAAGATCAGAGTTCATAGAAGAGGTCCATGAAACCTTCAAGATTTGAAGACTGTTTGTGTGGAAGAATGGGCCAAAATCACAGCTGAGCAATGCATGCCACTAGTTTCTCCATACAGGAGGCGTCTTGAAGCTGTCATTGACAACAAAGGCTTTTGTACAAAGTATTAGATAAATTTCAGTAAGCGTGTTCAATACTTTTTCCCTGTGCCATTCCACATTATTACAAATAACTTCATTTCTGGACATTTATGGTTTGATTTCTTTGTATGTATGGATCACTTGGGTTGTTACCGACATCTGGTGAAAATTTCATGTCATTAGCACCTCTAGTAATATATTTACTGAGAAAAATGGTGACGTGTTCAATACTTATTTTACCCGCTGTATCTTCCTGGAAGTGCCTGTGATCAGGGGAGCATGAACACCAGACCCAATAAACTGACATGAGGTTTCATGACCTGTATTTGCACCTGTCCAGTTTTGAAGTCAAAACATAAATCCTTATGATTCTGTCTAAAATGAAATGTCATATAACCATTTTGTCCACAAATAGGAAATGTTCCAATATTGTGTTAAATGTGAAATGTATGTGAAATATGAATTTATATACTCATTGTGGTGATAAATCCCTGACTTTTGTGCGAAAGCTTTGAACATGCTCAAAACCCTAAACAACCAATCACAGTCCAGGAAAAACAATCACAACCTAACATGATGCATCCAAACAAATACAACTTAACAAAAACTATCATGACCTCTTTGTCCGAATGCATGCTCAATAATCCAAGTACATAAATCCATTGACTACCATTATCTATTATAACAAATCACATACTAAGAATGAATGCTGGAGTAATGAAAACGTGTAATGTTTAGAAATATTTTATTGTGAAAGGTGATGTTTTATTGTGAAAAAAATATACTGGTTGGTGGAGAGATAAAAGGAAAGTGAGAGTCCTGTGATGGCTGTTTTGGAGTGGTGAATTAAAATGTTCATCATTGAGAAAGAGCTCATCGTCTCTGTGGATTTTTCTACAAAGAAGAATAATCTGGACACACAAGTTTTACGCTATTATGACTTATTATGATAAATCCTAACTTAGAACAACTTATCACATATTCATATTCTAATAAAAATATCTGTCGTTGCCTCATCTTCAAGGGTCTCAGACTTTTCAGAACAATTAGAACTCATGTGAAGGAAATGCTGTGACTGCATAACTGAGTTTGAGATCCAGTCTTGTATTTTACACTTTGTGATCATCGCAGCCATATGGTTTAAACAGAAAGAGAGAGAGAGAGTGTGTCTTCTCAATGTGTTCCATTCTTTCTGCATGAACAATGTTGGTTTACATAAAAGGTACTGCCTCCAGGTGTGCGACCAGGAAGTCAGATGTACATGTTACTTTAAGAAGGTGATTCATTTAATCCAGGGGTGCCCAACCGTCGATCGCGATTGACTGGTCGATCCTCGGCTGGTTCCCGGTAGATTATGGAGAATTGTAGAACGCAGCATTGTTTGTTTAGCATTGCAGCCTTAACCCCCCCCCCCCCCGCCCCTTGTAGACGTGACCAGGTTTCATTCACAGTAGCCTCACGAGTCGGTGACACAGCGCTCACAACATGATCTCACGAGACTTTGGTTCAGTAGAGTTGTCTTCACGGAAAAAACATGGATGGATACCGAGCAAACAAGCAAACAAAAACTTATAATTTTCACCCGGAGAGGGAAGGATGAGTATTTTTTTGTTTATTCTAATTCGAAATCTATTTGCCTCATATGTAATTCGAGCGCTGCCTTACCCAAAAAGGGTAACTTGGAGCGGCATTTCAAGACAATGAACAAAAGTTCTTTATGGACTCAGAAATGTGGGAGCTCAAAAACAAGCTTGCAGCCCAGCAATCGATTTTCRCTTGGCCCAGCACAAAAATGTAAGGCTGAGATAGCCTCATACTGTGTTAGCCGCATCTTTGCTCAACACAAGAAGTCTTTCAGCAAAAGAGAAGTCATGAAAGAAGCATTTACTGAGGCACAGATGCACTTTTTCATGATTTTAAAAATAAAAGTGAGATCGTGGCTGCTATAAAGACGTGCAGTTGTCCAGACAAACAGTGACATGGCGATGTGAGGGAATGGCTGTGGATGTGGAGGAGTAGCTAAAAAAGGACATTTAACAATCTGAGTGTTTATCTCTTCAGTTTGATGAGTCGACTGACATGGTAGATGTGGCCCAGCTGTGTGTTTTTATCAGAATGGCCTTTGCAGACATGAGTGCAAAAGAGGAGCTGCTTACCATCTTGCCTTTGAAGGGACACACAAGAGGAGAAGATATTTTTAATGCGTTTATGGAGTTTGTTAAAACAGTAAAAGCAACTTGCCCCTCTATAAACTAATTTCCATAACAACTGATGGTGCTCCAGCAATGACCGGTCACACCAGTGGATTTGTTGCACTCTGCGGATTTGTTGCACTCTGCAAGCAGAATGATTCTTTCCCAGACATTTTGAACTATCACTGCATRATCCACCAACAGGCACTGTGTGGGAAGATTTTAAACATGAAGGAAGTGCCTATGAGACCCTGGCCGCCTCCTCCCAGTGTCAGAAGTCCCACTAAGGTAGAGACACATTTATTTTTATATAGCCTGCATAAAAAGTTGTGTCCTTGTTATGTCTGTTTGTTAATTTCTTTTTACATTTTAGACCAGACTAGTGTGTTATACACTGACTGGCACCTCTGTGTTATTTATTTATTTTGCAGTTTGGGTGTGCCTTTGTTTTCTGTACCTAATGTGGCTGTGTGTGTCTTGTCAGGTGGTGAACCAGGTGGAACTCTTTGAGTGGTCTGGAGCCGGCAGTCTGGACCAGTGAGGGACTGAGCTCTTCAGCACCAACAGTTGACATCATCCTGCATGCTGCAGATTGAGGTTTGAAATAGTTGTTGGAGATTTGTGAATCTGCACCATCGTAAGTCACTTTTTGTAATAGTATAAACGAGAGAGTTTTATATTGTGTGCTATGACTTTGAATAAAGGGTGGCACTGTTGTGGTAGCCATGTTGACCCTGATAGATTTTTGTTTTGTTTTTCCTCCCCTGTATGGAGAGAAGAGAGGAGAGTTCTTTGAATAAATGGAGACGAGTTCCCGTGCTCCAAAGTTGTTTGACTCTGTGGTTGTCGCACTGGGCAGGTTTCCAGCCCTCATAGCTCACACGTTACAGGGAGTACTAATTGAAGGAGGTAAAAAAATGATCCTTTTTGTTTGAGCACCACTTTTCTGTTTCTCTGTCAGGAGTTAAGTAAGGATTTTATCTTTTCTTTTTTTATAGGTAAATATATGGTTAAGTAGATGGTTTTGTTTGACAATACTTTACATTCTGTTTTATTTACTTTAAAGAAGTGAGGAGTAGGGAGATGAAAAATTATGTTTTTTTGATACTGAGACTGGACGAGTAGATCTCAGCAAACTGCTGACTTCAAAAGTAGCTCTTGAGTCAAAAAAGGTTGGGCACCCCTGATTTAATCATTATATTTGGAGTCTTCCTCTTAGATCAGCCAGAGAGGGTGTTATTGCTTTTCTGTTCTGATAAGAACCAAGGCCTGCTGCAAGCSTTATTGGAGTCTGATTTTTGAGTAAAGCTTTTTAGAAGAGAATCAATTGGTTTTCTGCAAACTTMTTCTGATCTTCAGATTACTGAACACGTTTTTCTTACACATGAATGAGTTTGTTGTTTTAGATTTGACCAACACACATATATTTGTTTCTTTACTCCTGACACACTAAAAAGTAGGATGATTTTCCAAAATGGGAAATCCTCTGTGAAGCAGTAAAGATCTGGAGGACTTGTGCCAGCTTTTTGAAACATTCGCTGCACCTGATCTTTCAGGCTCCTACAAAAGAACCTGCATGCACCTCGACCATACATACACACACTGTCATGCACAASTCCAACCTCTGCACTCGTGCACACAGGTAGCTACGTAGTCACAGTTATACGAAGGCAGCTGCAAAGTCAAAGGTTTGCAGAAACTGAGCTCTTGAGTCAGTTTCCTGCTGAAAACCTTCATCTACTTCWAGGGCAACAAATCAGCCACATTAAAACCAAACCAGGGCAACAAAATCAGTGAGACTCAGCAGGTCTGAGGAATAAATTTCTCATATAAGCAAAAAAACAAAACAAAAATCCAAAGAAGCACTGAAAGTTAGAGGCAGATCAAAAGAGGGCACTAAAGCAGCTACTTCCTTCCACCCCGTTGTAACTACAGTACGACTGATTCTAAAAAGTGATTAGGGCTGAAGCAGAAATGACGTGAGCAGCTTCAGGAYGGTGCTGTAGAGAGTTCAGCTGCTGCGATGTGAGTGTCGCAACCGCCATGCCGTGAGAGGAAACAGGGCTTGTTGCAGCACCGAGTCCACGCTGAACAAACAACAACTAAACATGGTATTAGTCAGTCTAGCCAGCGGTACAGGAGCTTTGAAATAAAAGGACTGCACATACATTTACACACATACATGCAGTGCTTGTAGTACTTTAAGAGCCGTTTAAGAAAGAAGAAGCTTTAATGTTTTAAATGTCAAACTAATAGAATWAATAGTAACATATTATTTTGTTACACAACAGTGATTTCTGATGTAGTCTAAAAACATCTATGGTTGGTGTTATTATGCACCACTCAACCACGTAAAGACCCACAAAAGAAAACTAAAAGCCGACTCAGTCTTCCACTGTAAAATAATCCAAATCAACACATTTATACTACAACAATATATCATAAAATCAGTAGCAGTTGATTGAGAAGTTACATTTTCCCTCCTTGTTTGATAAAAAAAGAAACAACTCAGCTTCCAACACAGCATCATCTTCATGTCTTAAGTGTGAGGTGGGTAAAAAGGGTGCAGTGGAGAAGTTCCACATCCACTCTGCCTCTCAGAGGAACCAGAGCCATCCCCGCCTTACCTATCCGAGCTGTCTCAGCCTTGAAGGTGCTGAAGTCCCAGTTGCGAGGTAGTTTCAGAGACATTATCCAGCAGCCCGGGTCAAGTGCTTCAGTTCACACACACACATCCACACTCACACACACAAACACACACAAACACACACACCTGCTCTCTCTCTCTCTCTCTCTCTCTCTCTCACACACACACACACACAC